CCCCGGCAGAGCCTGACCTGTCTGGCCGAGAGGGCTTCAGAGAGAGGAGCAGGCCCCACACTCACCTCAGCCCCATGGTGAGGGACAACCATTTATCCCATACAAGCCACAAGCCCTGCAAGGACACAGAAGCTACAAAGCCACACGCCCTGAGGCCACCAGGGAGAAGAGAGCGAATGTGGAGGCTGAGGAAGCTGTGGGTGCTGGTGACACTGTATCTGGGGACAGAGAAGCCCAGCACCGGATGAGCGCTTCCCCCCAGGAAGAGGAGGGATCACCTATTAGGATCACCAATCACCGATCACCCGCAGAGCCAAATGGGGGATTTGAATGCCAGCACCACCTGCTTCCCATGGGGGTGACCACGGGGGAGCCCACTTTTTTGAGTTTCAGTTTCTCTGTCTATAACTTTTAAATAATAATTTCTACCTTGCAAGGCTGAGGTGAAGACAGTATCTGTATGTAAAGGAAATAGTATAGCCTCTAGATTCTGATACCTAATCAATACATGGTCACTGATACGGATGTGATCATGGATTGCCTTACTTGGAAACAAATAGGGCATCTTGGAGAATTTGGGAGATGTTTTTGCAATTTTCAGGGATTCAAGCTTTCAGAGGAAGCAGGGGCTGGCGGGCACGGTGGCCACACACACCCGGAGCCTGCAGGGGAGGACTCTTAGCAGGGGGGACACCTCCTTCCTGGGCAGCTGATTGCAGAGCCTTGTGTGGCTGATTGCTGCCCTGGAACCGTGCACAGGGCAGAGCGGCCTTGCGACAGCTTCTTTCCCTCCCTGGACCCTGTTTCCAGTGTGATGAGCAGAACTCCACCTGCCTGCAGCCCTGGAGTACATGATCACTGTGCGTGTAAATAACACACCTGTGCCTGGTAGGGTGCCTGTGTCTGCAAAGAGCTTGATGTTTGCTTGTGAGTGCATGCACGACTGTGTGGTTTATCTGTGTGTGCTCATTTTGAGTGTCAATAAGTCTGTGCATGGGTGAATAGTTGGAGCTTGGACAGCTGGTTGCCCCTGGCAACTGTATGCTAGGATCTTCAAGCAGCATATCTCTCCTTGAATGACATTTGGTCGCTCATCTTCAGTGATCAAATCCTGTGTGGTGCCACATCTTTTAGGTCCTGGCCACTGTCATTGCAAATTTCTGCATCTAGGGTTTTTCCTAGATGCAGAGAAGTTTGCTGTCTCTCTCTGGAGCTCAGTGTTCAATGTCAAGTTCATCTGAGAGACAGAATGAAAGCTGGTGATTCGTATTGACAGCTGTCCCTTCCACTCTATGATCAGTGACTATTAGCTCACCTGATCTGTCTGTAGTATGTACCCCTCCCACAGATAACCCGACTCAGATACCACCAGGAGAACAAAATAAGAAAGAACTATTTACCTAGAGTTTCTTGGTATAAGGGGTCAGGACAAGAACCAAAAATCCAAAAATAATTACATTTTTAAAACAGCTAATGGCATGAAATAAAAGACTGTTTTAAATGCCAAAAAAAAGCAGTTACATTAGGAACAGAAATGCTTCCTCTTATTGTAACAGAAGCAAGGAAAGGTCAATTAAATTTTTTTGAGCTTTTTATCTCATCTTGAGCCGACAAAGCTAAGCGCACAATACAAGGCTTTAAGACACCGATGCTAATTCCCAAGCTTGCACTTACAGAAATGAAACTTTACTCGAAACAAAGCACTGGCCCATGATGAAGCAACCCCTGTTGGAGGCAGAAGGCCACAGAGAGCCCCGTGTTATCCATTAGACACTGTCCTTCTCTGTTGTTAAATGAAATATTTAAGAATATTTAACTACCAGGTACAATTATGACATTTAATAATACTGTAAAATATGTAACACTGTTCCTATTGTGTGTTGTTCAACTAAATGTGTTCTAAAGGAAATGGCAGAGGGACCAAATGTTCCTTTATCCCCATGGCTGGTAGACCTACAACTCTTTGCTTCTTTGGTGTATCCTTATTCTTCTTTCTGAGCTTGAAAAGAAAAAAAATAAGTTTGCAATTAGTTTTGCTGTGGCAAGATTTGTAGGATTTCAAATCCTAAAATCTGAGCTGCTCTTCCTTAAGAAAAAAAAAGTCACTTTGGTAGCCTCTCCAGCCACGGCTCTGCTCAGGAAATCTGAGCAGGGCTGGGCTGTACTCTCCCGTCTCCAGTCTGAGAGCTTCCTCCACCTCGAAGGAAGAACAAAGCTGTGAGCAGAGATGGAAGAACAAAGCTGTGAGCTCCACCGTGAAAACCAACCTCCCCAGGGCACCCTGGTTTTCCCATGAAGGTCCACTGGTCACCGGGATGCCATCGGTGGGGGTGGGGAGCACACACGTGGGGTGTGGAGAAGCCGACTCCAGGCTGTGGGGAACATGGGGTGTAGGGAATGTCCATGGGAACGGCACCATAGACTCTGTAAAAGCCCAGTGTCCAGAAGCCCAGCCGGGTTCCTCTGAGGATGCCAGTGCCCTCGCTCTGGGACCGCAGGGCACCTACAGACACAGAGCGTGCAGACTGAGAGGCACACACACAGGCTGCAGTCAGCCTGGGGGGAAGGACCTTCACTGCCTGTGGTGGGCTAAACCCAGGGCTCCCGCCAGCCCTCTGAGATCTCAGCCTTGGAAACACACTCACTTGTCAGGTGAACGGGAACTTGGGACTGCCGCCCCTCATGCTGTCCTCTGGTCAGGATCTGAGACTCACCTTGGGAGCTGAATTTCCCCCACAAGCGTGTGTAGCAGTGGACGCCCCCCGGGGCACAGCAGATAGCACTTCCTCACCCCAGACAATAAGAGGGTCAGGAGCAGTCAGTTTTATTATTAAACAACTTTAATCCAAATGCTGATTATTATTTGCAGTGTCTGAAGGCACAAAAGATACCTAAAATGTATGGAATAGTCTAACAGAGTTATAAATCCAAAGGGCAAAGCATGGAAAAAGATACATTCTACGGGCTGACACAGAAATCTAAGTTGGAAAGATTCTGGTTTTCCTTTTGTTTTCCCTTGCTTGAACTTGCTTGAATATCAACCATTTCCCCTCATGCCAAGGGCAGGAAGTTAAAAAAAAAAACATAAATACGGTGAAGGATGACACCATGGGGTACTAAGGGTTTGGGAAGCACTATACTTTCCCCTCGAAGATGCTGTCTGTCTGTCTGTCACACTCACACACACACACACACACACACTCACACTCCCTCTCTCTGTCTCCGACACTCATTCTGAGCAAAACCACCTGAGCATCACCTAGACACTCCCACCCACACTCTCCCTCAGAACACAGGGCACCTCCGGGAGGAACACCGGCCTCAGGGTGACATCCCAGGGATGGGGCACTGACCTTCGGGGCTGGCTCCCCAGAGTGTTCAGGGAATGAAAGCAAAGCCTGCTCTGTCGGGGCCACAGCAGCAGCCCACCTCACCTCTGCCACGCATCTGAGCTCCAAGCGCCACATTCTGACTGGAGAGACGTCAGCGGACCCTCCCTGCACCGACTTCAGCCCATTCCCAGCATCCAAAGAAAAATAAGATAATTACAGACAGCCTTTCCCAGGTGCTTCAGCTGCAGCATCTCTACGGCTCCCTCCTGACACTAGGGACTTTCGGAAAGAAATCAACCCTGGGGTGGTTACCACCCCATACATGCATCTCTGGGAACTCCAGAAGGCTGAAGGAGGCCAGCGCTGGGACTCTGTCCTTCCCCCTGACCACGGGCCCAGGCTCACACCCCGAAGACTGCCTGGAGTAGCTGGGAGTCCCCCTGCTCCTCAGATCCGGCTGTGGGCTCTGCTCTGCCTCCTGCCAGGTCAGGGCAGTGGATCACCCGTGTCTAGGAGGGGCCCTGAAGTGTCGCAGCTCAGATTCCTCCAGTGACTCCACTCCTGACGATTCTTTCTCTGGTCCTACATTCAGGTCCCCCAGAAGGGGCAGGAGGGGGAGGTGAGGCTTTCAGGTAGGTGTGCTCTTTGGAAACAGGGTTTCCGAGCAACTTCTCTGTCTCAGGCCTAGACCTGAGGGTCTCAGAGGACCTGAGATGCTTTCAGCCTGGAGCAACTCTGTCATTCTGGTTGATAGACTGCTTGAAGACTCCCTGTCTGCAGAAGGTGGTAAAGGTACCAGGGCCTGGCTATCTCTGGGAGGCTTCCCGCAGGGTCTGAGAGCCATAGACACGCCCTGCAGCTTCTCCAGGAGATGGGAAGTTTCTGTCTTAGCTTCACTAAGAATCCAATCTCCTTCCCCCGCCCCTCTTTTCTGTTATCCAGCCTCCCCATCACCTGGGGAGCATCTGCCCCAATCCCTTCCAAAAGGACCCTTTACCAAAAATCAAAATGCTCCTATTTCCTGCTCCCTGGCCACAATTTCCTCACCCGGGCCACAGGCCGGAATCTAAGCATCCAGCCTCCCCGATCAACATGAGCAACCATACTTCACACCTTCGCCCAGGCCAATCCCATCTCCGCCCCGCCTCTGCGACACAGCGGTGAGGCCGGCCCTTCTCCCCCATGGTCTATCCATGGCCACTCCTCTAAACGGGAAAAGAAAGTAAAAAACAAGCCCAAAGGGATGGTACAGAACACATTGGCATCAAAGCCTCAGAGCCTGTCACCTCAATATGGGCGGCTTCTCTGGGGCTCAGGGGCAGGTGCACACCGTGACATACACGGGAGTCCCCATCTGGAGCTGGCCCGGCTGGGACCGCCCTACGTCCAGGGCCGGTCCTCAGAGCCTGGCCGGCTGGAAGAGTGGCTCACCCTCCAGCACCGTGACCCCACGGGCCAGCTGGGCCGCGGCTGGACTCTACCCACCCGAAGAGACGGGAGGAGGAATGAAGGTCCAGGGGCAGAGGACAGAGGGGAGCTGGCGTCCAGGCAGCCAGCCGCATGGGGGGCCCCTGCCTTCCCTCTCCCCAGCAGGGAGGGGCTCCTCCTCTGACGGCCCTTCCTGCCCTCAGAGAGGCCAGGGATGGGGGGCCCTTTGGCACTTCAGAATGATCACAAGTAATTTGCCTTTTTATTCATATAGAACAAAATTTACAAAGTCGCTCATACAGTTTTTGTGGTTTTTTTACTGACTTCGAAAATTGGGAATATTCAAAATACACTTTTACCCCACTCCATTCTGTCATTATTTACACGTATGTACAAGAAACATGAAAGAGTCTCTGTGTGTGTGTGAGTCTGTGTGCGTGTGTGTGCATGTGTGCGTGTGTGGTCTTGTGGTTTCTCGTATTAAAAAGCTCTGCTGGTCGGGTGGGCGGGCGGGCGGGCGGCGGCAGGCGGTGCGGTCAGATGGAGGTGCCGTGGGAGGTGTCCAGGGCCTCCGGGAGGACCCCCCCAGGCACGGGCTGGAAGGACATGGGGATGGGGGTCTTCACCGGGCTCTGCCGGAACAGCCCCCCGTTGGGCGACCGGTGTTTGCACTGGATGGGGGGCATGGTGGCCGCGCTGCTCAGCGGCAGGGGCAGGCTGCTGCTGGGCCCTGCCGAGAGTGTCCGGCCGGCGCCGTGGCCGCTCTGCTCCGGCAGGAAGGTGCTGACCGTCAGCTGGGTGTTCTGGTACTCGCGCGTGGGCTCCAGGGCCGGGCTGGGCGCCAGGCCCCCCATCTCCAGGGCCGAGAGCTCGATGGACGCGGGCGAGATCTGTTGTGCGCGATGTCTTCGTCCATGAGGCTGTTGATGCGCCGGTGTACTTGCTCCAGGTTCACCTCTTTGTCCTGGAGGGGAGACGGGGAGTCAGGGGGCCCTCGGGGGCCAATGGCCCAGCAGCAAAGGCAGGGGACTCGGCGGAACGGGCCTGCTCGGCCTGCTGCCCGTCATCACCTGCCCCAGCTCCCACTGCCCGCCACGGAGGGGAGTCCGTGGGCCAGGATACGCAAGGAAACCCTTGGTGACAGTGTCCCTGCCACGTTTACTCAGCTTAGCATCACGGCCACAAGCCAAGGAAATCCTGTGACAAGACAGTTTGAAGAACTGGCAGATACAGAAGGAGAGAAGTGGAAGCCCTCTACGGGAATGGAGGGGACATCCTTGGGCACCTAGCACGTCCCCTGCGGTTGTCATTTAAAGCTCAGAACGCTCGGCCCCGCCTTGCACAAAGGAGACTCAATCACCTCACCAGGGTCACCAGCCTTCTGGGTGCCACAAGTGGTCTGGAGCCCAGAGTGGGACAGGCGTCTGGTCTTACCGAGTCACCTACAATGGCTCCATCCATGCCTCTGGGGAGGCGGGGAGGGGGTGGGCATGCCTCTGTCCAGAAGGCTAAGGGCAGGCGTGGGATTCTGGGTGGGGATGAGATGTGGGGGTGGTGAGAGGACTTTCTAGGGTTAGCAGACTGCTGGTACCATGAGGGCTTGAGGCTGCCCAGATGGGTGACCCTTACCCGGACACTGCCACTCCATGGGCAGTAGTATCACAGCAGATTGTTTAATCTGTTTATTTGTGTCAAAAAATAAAATAAACAGGACTGTATCCTTTTTTAATCACTTGACTTGCTTTCAATGTGAAAGTGAATGGAGGTGGTCACACCACTTTGAAAGCTTAAGAGGTCATCTATTCATCTATGAAGTTGGGGGGAGACTGGCCCGTGCCCATGAGAAGGGCCACCCCAGCTCCCTGCTTCTAACCCGGAAGCTGCAGTTCTGTCTGTGGGCACATCAGCATCAATGGGCTGCCCCTTCCCACGCAAAATCCCAAGAGAAATACCACATTAAAGTTCGTTTTCAAGACAACCGTGTGGGTTTTCCAACACTGACATCGCATCCTGAAGAGAGGAGCCCAAGCCTTTCCCACCTCGCAGGGATGCTGGAAATCCCAGGAAACTTAGATCCCTTGATATGTTTTCAGGAGCAAAAAGAAATCCTGCAGAATAAAGCTGTCCCCATGACAAGCATTGAGCTCTTCTGGGCCCGGTCATGAGGAGTCCCCAGGGGAATAGGCATCCTGAATAACCGGGCTGCATCTCCCTCACCGGAATGCACCAACCCAGATGGGAGGACCGAACTCAACATGTCTCATGCTGCACCCCGTGATCTCCTCCTCATCCCAACCTTCTCAGCAGGGGGCTGGGGGACCACTGCTCTGCATCATTGTGAGCCCAAAGCCAGCAGCTGGTGTTTGTCTTCCAGTGGGACATCTGGTGTCACTGTCTCTCAAAACTCCTCCCAGCACAGGAAAGCTAATGACATCCACAAGACAATGGAGAACTCATTTCAGGCCAGGAGGAAATTAAAATAAGAGAACTTCTCCTGGAGGAGAGGGTCAATTCATTTAGCCTTGGTATCAGGGAGAGACCTGGCCTCACGGGGAGTCACTGACACGGCCCAAAGCAGAGCCCAGATTCCAGTGATCAGAAGCCGCAGAGGAACAGAGTTCAGCTCCCTGGGCCTTGGAAACCATCTCTGAGCTGGGGGTGGTAGGTGTCATGGTGAAATGCAAAGTGGCTGGAGGACATCAGGTTTCTGCTCTTCCTGCTAAATGCCATCCATGAAACGCTTTCAGGGGCTCCTCCAAAAGGCTGCTACCGTGTACTCCTCGGCTTAGGAGGCAGAGTCATCATAAACTGAAAATATCCCCAAACTGCAAACGCTGGCTCTGTCTACCCGAGCCAGCATCCCAGCTTAGCCACACACCCCTCCGCAGAGTGCAGGGCTAGGTGAAAACTGTGGCTGCCCGCAGCTGCCCGGCATTGCTGGGCACACCATGCTGGCCCTGGAAAAGACAACAGCTCGATTTCAAAGTATGATTTCTACTGAATGCATCTTACTCTTGGAACATCCTAGCGTGAAAACTACCAAGACGAACAATGATAATCTGGGGCCACTGGTAAATAACACACCAAACTTGAGATCTTACTGTCTTCATGACTGAGCCAGCTCCATGTGACATTCCCCTTTTCGCAGTGTTTTATGTTTTGCCTTTTAAAAGATGATTAAGGTCATTATTTATTAAAAAGGAATTTTGGAATGGTATCGCTGCTCCCCTCTTGAAAAAGTCTAGGGTTCAGGCTCTTGGGGAACTACTGTCTACCCTGGGTAATGGCCGTGCCGGATGACTTGCTCGCCTAGCCGAGAGCCAGCCCCACGACCCCAACAATGGAAAGACGGATGACTGACTCTGAACAAGGGGATAAAGCCACAGAAAATGCTTGGTGTCTGTACTGATCTTTCTTCCCACTGCTGGGACCGAACACCTGACACCTTTGGCTCAGGGTTTCAGAGGGTTTGGTGCATGGTCATTTGGCTCCTAGGCAGAAGTGTCACGGTGGAAGGCTGTGGCAGGGCAGAGCAGCCCAGCTCACAGTGGCTGGAAAGCGGAGGGCAGGGGAACAGTGTTAGCAAACAAGGAGCAAGGGACCAGACATACCTAGAAATCTGCTAACCCCCGGGTGGCTCTCCAGCCATTTAAACTGATGAACCAGCTTATTTGTGACAGCGTCCCTAGGGTAGGCAGATGTGACTCCCCCTGCTCTGCTCCGGCCACCCTCCTGGCTCTGGGGTCCTGGGCCTCTGCACAGGCTCCAGTTCTGGTCCTCACCAAACCTGCACACCTCCAGCTTTTTTATGGCTACTCCAAGCGCCGATGAGGCCTCTGACGCAGTATGTGGCTCTGATACAGGATGCCGCCGTTCCCTTATGTGCACTGGCCACCCTCGGTGCCACAACCATTTCAGTAAATATTTGGACCCATAAGCTATTTCCATCTCAAAAGGTACAAAGGGCTTCAAGGACTTGTACTAGAGAGCACGGAAGCTGGAGACAAAGAATTTCAGACAACGTCAGGGTTTAAGTGGACACTAACTGCCTTCACTGCAGCCGGTAAAGGTTGAGAAGTCAGAGAAGCAGGAGTCCTCAGGACGGACTTGTTTCTGTAGAGGAGCCTGGTGACCGGGCAGCCCTGGGACCCTGGAAGGAACCAGCTAATGGCCTAATCTTGCCTTCTCCTCCTTTCTGTTCACTTCTGGACTTTCAGGTCCCCTTTGGGGACGAAGGAAATAAAGTCTAAGAGTGGACTAATTAGCAGCCGGGAGCAAGTGTCTTGGTCTGAGCTGTTCACCTGGATTTCGGCAGTCAGAAGGGAGAGCCTGGCCATTTTGCTCAGAGTCAGTTAAGGTCTGAGCCAGGGCAGACTACTTAGGAGTTTTTGGTTTTGCTAGGGTTTGAAGAAACAAAGGATAATTTCCTGTCCCAGAAGGCCAGGGAAACAGGGAGTTGAGGGAAGGGGCAAAGGGAAGGAACTCTATCTAAGGCCAGCAAAACACAGGGAGCTTTTGGAGCGGACACAGGCAGATCAAATTCCTCTGAGGAGGGCCTGAGATTTAGCCCAGTGGCATAAGCACCTGCCTGGCAAGCACCAGGTCGTGAGTTCGATCCCTAGTACAAAAACAAACAAACAAACAAACAAAAAACACATCTTCTCTGAAGAGAAAACATGGAGGCAGTCTCCTGGAGGTGGATGCCTTCACCACCGAAGCACAGGGAGAGGAGGAAGGGGCAGGCCTGGGAAAGTGCCAGGGCACGGACACCAAGCTAGAACCGTAAGTGCAGCTGGGAAGAGCTGGTCGGGTACAGCAAAGCGCTTAGAATAAAGACCAGCCTGGGGAGGGCCACTGAAGGTGGCCAATCACCTTCAAATCAAGACGCCTCAAGGAAGGGGCTCAAACAGATTCTTCAATTCACATATTCTTCAATTTCCTCAAATTAAGGAGGGATGGACTTGTCCCCAGGACTGCAGGGCTGTGCGGTTATTTATTAGCCTTTTAACCTCTCCGCACGGGGACACCCAGCAAATGTCCACATCAATTGACCAGAATTCCCAGGGAGAGCTGCTCATGCCACATGGCTGTCAAGGAGCCGACCTCCTGCATCAAGGCCCTCATTCTATTCAGATTCCATTATCCCCGTGAAGACCAGCTGGGAGGAGGGGACTCTCAAGAGTCTCATATGGTGGCTTAAATGGACGCGAAAGTGGATTGCACTAGAAGCAGATACTTCTCTGATGCCCCAGAGAGCAAGACAGCCAGTCTGTGTCTGGGTCCAGGAAGCAGCCTGCAGGGCTAGGGATGAGGAGCAGCGAGCAGAGGGCCAGTGGCTTGGGGTGCGGAGAGCTCTGTGCTCCCGCATCACCTGGGGATGCAGACAGCGTGCACAAGGTCACTGCACGTCCACCTGCACCTTCTGCATCTCTAGCCAAGGGCAGAGAAGACAGGTGCTTGCAGCTCACCCGAGCAGTGTGCAAGTGTGATTGAACAAATGTCCATCGTTTGGGCAAAATGGTGCATTCTATAATGTTATGCAAATTCAAATAATGGGCTTTTTTATGTGAACTACATTCGTTTACATCCTCATTATCCCAAGGTTTAGATGTTCAGCCAGGTAATGACAGCTGTGGAAAGAGACCTGGAAACTTACGGCTGTCTTCATTAATCTAACATGGGTAACTGACCTACTCAAACATCCCCACGTATGACATAAAATTCATTGGCTGCATCTACCCACGAATCGGCTGGGTTCCAGCTCCACATATCTCACCCCATATTAAACATGACAGCAGATGCACCAGCAGAGGTTACTGGGGAACCCTGCTCCGGTATCGTCTTGCAGAGAGATAAAGTTCTGTAATTAAGTCAGTGTTCACCAACGTGGAAATAATCCAGTGTATTGGAAAATGGTAATTAACTAAACTATCGTCTATGTAACAGCTTGTTCCACTGGGGCCTCGTTAGCACTGACTTTGTTTGGAGTCCAACAGCTCCTGTTTTAAGTTGGACAGGAACAAAACTAGAGACAAGGGACTTGTCACCTGATTGGGGTAGCTGTTGGCAGCATCCTCTAGAAACCACTGAGACCAACCAGCTGGTAAATGAGACCCAGCGGTGGGGAGAAAGCCACCAGCATGAGCTTCTTAAGCCCTGCTCCCAAGATGTATGCCAAGCTTGGGGTCTAAGAATCCTGAATGGGAAGAGCAAAGCCAAACGCTAAGTCAACAAAGTGATCTCAGGGAGTGATGGGCGGTTTTATAAAATGTCATACACAGAGTTCCGATCAGCTCAACTGCAGATTTGCAGGGCAGGGCTACGAGAGGGACCTACAGCCACTCCACATCACATGGAGGAGCCCCGAAGATACAGAGGAGGAAACCGAGGCTTGGAGAGAAAGGATTTGTCCACGATTATAAATTCCAGGGTAAGTGGAGATTAGCAAGAGTGCTCATGGCTACCCAGCTCCAAAGCCAGTCCCTCTTCCACTCTAGCAGGCTAGATGTTCCCAAACTCCTCTGAGGAAAGCGGGTGTGCACCAGGGGGAAAGTTTGCATCCTAGGCAGGATATCAGAAGCACATGTGGAGACTTCAGGAATATCCTGAAGGTGAGCCTTTGGGAAACGGGGCTCAGGTATCTGCATTTCTAAAAAGCTTCAGAATTAATCACCTCTGATGCGCAGCCAGAACTGCAAGCCATTGATCCAGCTCCAATGATTACACAACAATTTAGCCTGAGTAACACTGCCTTTATGGGAGCCCAGCCTGGTTCATTCATTCAATAAATACTCTGGAGCCCCTACCACCAGATGAGCTAACGCTCTCGGTAAAGCACTCGTCTTTGGGTCCTGGCACATGGAAGATGCTGGATACCTCATCATCCCTTAACAGGAGCCTCTGCATTAGGGAATGTGGGGCTGAGGAGGTGCTGGCGGATGGGAAGCAGAGACAGACAGGTAAATGATCACCGGCAAAGAAGACTCACATCCAATGAGGGAGCAGCCGGCCCTGGAAGCAGGGCAGGCTTTGCCGGTGTGCTGGTTCTGAGCTGCAGTGTGGTGTGTAGTGAGTGGACAGGGCCTCCCCCCGGACAGCCCTGGACAAAGGCCTGAATCGTGCGCCCACACTCTCTGTACCCTGTGCCATGCTTTCTGACCTCCACAGTGCAGCTACTGGTCAGGCTCGGTTCTCCACACAGGAGGGAAACCAACGTTCAGAGAATACAGAGGCTGCACCAGGAGTGCAGCCCATGGAAGACCCGAGTTGACCCTCCACTCCCAAAGTCCTCTGAGAAAGGCAAGCAGGAAGCCATGACACCACCCCCAGCCCTCTGCACACTCCCCACGGAAGCCCCTTGTCCTGGCTCGCTGATGACCTATCCCTGGAAGAATACACAGTTCACTCCCTAGCTTGGCCCTGGCCACTTCTGTCCCTTCTCTGGGCATAGGGACACCTGCCTGAAGGCTGCCAAAGAGCATTATGAAGACAGCGGGTCACTTCCTCAAGACCATGCAGGGTCGGTGTCCTCAGGTGTAACGTGTTTCCTTTACATCCCTCCTGTCCATCTCCACATCCTCAGGAGGGCGGAGCCCTTGACCACCACTCACCTAGCACAGTGCTGGGACGGGCACATCCATAAGTCACTTTACACTCCTTGGGTTGGCAGATGGGAAGAGGAAAGAGGAAATCTCTGCACAGAGTAGAGAACGCACCAAGGGGACGGGGCCACAGACAGGCGTGGAGTACAAGGGTGTCCCTGGGACCCCAGCTCCCATGGAGGGTGGGCTCAAGGGGGATTCCTGAAACAGAGGGACCAGCAGCAACACAGCCTCCTGCCTCTGTCCCGCATGGAACCAGGCAAGGCAGGAAGCTTCCGCCCCGTGATGAATGTGTCCTCTCTGGCGCCTCGTGTCAGCTCCCATTTGTGTGGTTCTCATCTTTATTTCATGAATATTTTATTCTCCGAGCACGGGCTCCACACGCCCCATAAATCTAGCGGGTGGCTGTTCACCGCAGCCCGGGCTTGGCTCGCTCACCTGCACTGGGTAACTACGTAATTGTCTGATTCCTCAGAAAAAAAATACGAGCTGAGATGGGCATGAATATTAAGGGCCGAACGAACATTACTGCTCTTCCCTAAAAGGCATCAGAACTCCAAAGATGCCGGCACAAGCCATTGAACATGGCGCGGGCTCCACCCAAAGACAGGCTTCTGCCTCTTGAGAACCATGGCCATCGTCCCAGAAGGAGCCCTTGGCCCGGGCTTAGTCCTTCGGGCAGATCCTGCAGCCTCCTCCGGCCTCTTCTCTCAGCAGCTCCCTGCTCCCCACCCTATCAGCAACCTCCCTTCTCATCTCCAGCCCTGGGATGGGTCCCCATCCTAACAGCTCTGAGCCCAGAAATCCGCACCACCCTTCCACCAGGCGCTAGATGGACTTGGGCCTGCCCTGCACTTGGGTGGGACCTGTCACTCACTTTGGACAGCCCTGATCAGCGGGCTGTAGGTCACAGCCAGAGGAGAAGAAAAGAGAAGGCCCTGTACTGCCAGGCAAGCAGCCGCGAGGACAGCGTGGTCATCTCTGGCTCTCCCAGTCTCTGGTCGCCTCCCTCTTCCTGCCTGTGCTTCTCCAACGCCTGATCATTGTTACTTCCTCACCTAACTCCCCGACGTGCACACACAGGTGTCTACGCACATGCACACACTCCCCGCATAACAATGAAATCTGGGTGGCCCGGGCTGGAACTATCCCAGGATTTCCAGCCTCCCCTGGACCTCCTGGAGCCTGCGACTCAGACACCAGCTGGACAAGCATCTCCATGACAGTGCAAGCTCACCCCTCTGAAGATCGCCCGGTTCCCCTGGCCCTGCCCCTGCCCCTGCCCCTGCTGGAGGGGTGTATTTACAGAGGAAACTGGGCAGGAGATGTAGGAAAAGTCAAACCCCCAAACAACCCAGGCAGGGGTGCAGTGGGGCTGGCCAGTGTGTCTCCAACTGCCCTGTCCTCCCAGCTCCTACTGCAGTGGTTTGGGAACCACCCCGCCCTGTCGCCCTCAGAGGCTCCTGTTCATCTAGGCCTGGCTGGTGACAGTGGGAGAGGGTCCCTGGCCATGTCTGGCAGAGGCTGATGAGGGAGCCAGCAGCAGAGGGACGGGGCTCCTCCCTAAAGCTGCTCACCAGGGAATTCAGGATTCTCCCTGCAGGATTTTCCATTTGCAAATAAAAGCTTGAAAGGGAACCCCAACTATGCCTTGCTGTAGATTTTCCCTAAGCTTCCTCTTTCTTTCCCTCCTGTGGTCCCAGAGCCAGCAGAGAGCTACCCAGGTGATACAGAAGCTGGTTTCCTGGCAGGGAGGAATGCAGCTGCTGGGGAGGCTCAGGGACGCTCTGGGTTATTTCAGATGCAGACTCAGCAGTTGCCTCCTTCCCAGCCAGAGTAAGGAGGAGCACAGTCAGCTGCCTCTGGGGGGCAGGGAATCCAGAGAGGATGGAGGGGAAGCCACTGTGGCGAGTCTCCCTTCCAATGCTGAGCTGAGCAGGGTGTGCAAACCCTGGTGACAGTCCTTACTGTTCAGAGGCGCCAAGCCCCAGCCCCAGGTCAGGCTCAGAGGACACGGCCAGCTCTCCCTGCCCACCCCAGTGCATTCTGAGTTTCTCCGAGAGTCCCTGCCTCAGAAGCCATTTTTATGACCTTGTCACATGTCACCCAAGAACAAAAACAGGCGAAGTTCTTGTCAAAAAGCACCAGTTTGGGGCTCAATGCTGGTTGTTGCGCTGTTTCCCGTTTGAGACTTAAGTCTTTCCGCTCCCACAAAATTAGCAAGCAGAGCTGTGGTTCCAGATGCAGCCAGGTGCATGTGGCAGGGAGTGACAGGCTCACAGAGAGTGGCCAGGCTGGGGTCACAGATGGCTGGGCGGCCGCAGCTGCCACAGCCGCACCGTCCTCACCAAACAACACGCCCTGCCACCCTGTTTCAGGGTGTCTCCAAGGGACCCTCATGACGCCTTCACTTAAAAAGCAAAAGCTTAGCCTGAAGAAGAGCACACACCCAAGGAGGAAGTTGAGGAACAGGGTCCACTGCGGTAGGCACACGCAAAGAGGGTGCTGCACCCCGAGTCTGGACGGAGCGACCATCCCAAGGGGTGTACCCAGTAGGGAGGTGGGCAAGGTGGGCCCTGAGAGGAGGGTGACGGAGTAAAGGTGGCGGGAGGAGCAGGGGTCCCCTCTGCACTGCAGCCCTAGGCAAGAGGCAGACAGAACCAGGAGGGAAGGTGCGGGCTCCTCGCTTACCCTACAGCTGGTCTCTCCAGGCCTGGGTGGAGGCGCGTGGGCGGGGCAGGGTAGGGAAGGGCTCTCTGGCGCTGCCCACGCTGTACCTGCTCTATAGATAAATACAGGACTTTAGTGGCTGTGGCTGGCACCTCAGCACTTTGTTCAAACATAGAAACATCATCCCTTAGGACTACTCTTTGTTCCCCTCTTGCTTTAAAATCAAAATGAAACTATGCCCCAGTAGAAAATGCTACTGTCTCTGGTGGTCTCCGGGTGACTTTGCTGAACTCTAACTGGACGGAAACCACCCAGCCATGGCCCCATGCGACCCTCTGGCCTCCACGCTGCAGAAGGGAGAGGTGCCCTGTACGGACCTCTTTGGGGGTCTCCTGGTGGCACAGGTTGCTGCTCCACCATAACTCCAGGGCGGCCACCAGGCAGGCCAGGAGGAGGCCGATGGCCAGGATGCAGAAGACCCCGGCAAAGCTGTGCAGCTTGAGGGCCTTGCCGTCGGTCTGGGCGCTGGAGTGGCTGGCGAGGTCACAGCGGCCCGTGTGTGGCCACCACTTCTGCTTGAGCACGTCCAGGTCCCCGGTGTCCTGCAGCTCCAGGATCCTACAAGACACAAGCCAGGTGAACCAGAGCCACTGAGCTCATTAATTAGCCATGGAGTCCTAGCCACCGCCCCTCCATGCTGGTCCCACCACAGACAACCAACCCTGAACCATCCTGGCTGCTCTCTGCCTCAGCTTCCCTCCTGAGCTCATCGGCACGCCACAGACAGACAGCTTTCACCAAACACACCAGGTCCCCTGCTCTCCTCCACCCCATCCCAATGCCAGGGACAAGTCCCAGGGCACCGTTCAGGGGACCTTCATGTGGGCGGCGCACCACGTACAGGGGTAAAACTGGACCACTGAGAAGTGAAGTGGACAGACACACAGGCTGTGGGGTTAGGTCGTTCAGATCCCCAGAATCTTTTCCCTCAAAACTCAAAGACTGTAGTTTGAGCATCCTTAATCCAAAATCCACCATCTGAAATACCCCAAAATTTGAAACTTTGAGCATCAACATGCCCTCTGATGGTTTGGCCCTGTTTCATGCATAAATTTAAAATGCTGTGTAACGTTACCTTCTGACTATGTGCCTAAGGTGTATATAAAACATACACATATTTCACATTCAGACTTAGGTCCCATCCCCAAGAGATCTCAAATATTCCAAGATCAGGAAAAAACCCAAACTTCCGAACCCAAGCATTTTGAATAAGGGGCACACAGCACCTCTGTCCTAATTTTGTCCCACTAGGATCCACAAAATAGTTCATGTGTCTGTTTGACTTAAGGAGTCACTGGCCTGCTCCAGGTATGACGTTTAGCACTGCTGAGCTTGTGGCCTGGAAGCACAGACACCAACCAGAAAGCCCGGAGAGCGACGGGTGGAAAGACCTGGGCTCTGAGAAATACAGTGAACTGGAGTAGCTGGCCAGCAAGGGGTGAATCTGGAGGGAACTCAGACTGGAGGACTGGGAGGGCACTGAGGAGTCAACAGTAGGGGACTGCTGATCACCCAACAGGGTCTCTGGGCCAACGACCACACCAAGAGCGTGGCGAGCGAGTCCTCACGCTGACACTCTGAGGTGGTGACTTCTGTTTTCTCATTTTTTCAGAGAAGGTCAGTGGGGCACGGAGGTGAAACAACTTGCCAGAGCCACTTTGAGGTTGGCAGGGTTGGCATTCGAGGCAAGAAGAACCCTCCCGAGGCTGAGCCCTGTGTGTCCCTGTCCCGGGCAGCAGCTCCAGGGGTTTAAGGTGCTGACACACAAGCAGAGAGGGTGCTGAGCCCAAAGCAAAGGGCCAGAAGGCGAACGCAGTGAGATGGACAGAGCCCCAGCAGGAAAGGGAGTCAGGACTGTGCACTGTGTGCCGCTGTGGAGTGGACCAACTCCTGATCCCAGAGTCCTCACAATGATTTTCTGCTGTTACAGGGCTTTGCGGCTTCCTCTGAAACCCAGGAATCTAAACAGTGAGGCAGGGGCAGCGGGGTGCTCCGGGCCCTGAGTGTACAGGCTCTTCCACTGGGGAGAAGAGCTCCTGAGCCTGGCTCACAACGAGCCAGGAGAAGCCCTGCTGGATGGCCGCAGAGACCCCGCCGCGGACCGCACTGCAGCCTGCTGTGACCGCAGGTCTGCGCTCTGGTGGTGACCATGCAAAGACTTGGGAGCACAGGTGACGGCCAAGAGGATCTGATAGCCTTATGGGCACAGCAGGACACAGGCTCTCACTGCCTTGAAAAGGCCCAAATCAGTGCAAAAGGCAGGCCCTGGCGGCAAAAGATCTCAGCCGAGGATTCTGGGACAAGAGAATTCTCCTGCTCACCTCAGCTTCCCCCTCTTCCCAGCACAGACTGCTGACCCGTCCCCGCCAGAGGAGCCTGGCAATGGCTTCAGGAGAGGGGCTGCTTTCCATGTCCACCCTAGTACAAGCACATGGGCCAGTACAGCCCAGGCTATCCGCAGATATTTATTTTGTCAATAAACATATAATATTGAATAATGAACACTAATCTACACTGAAGAGGCCCCATGAGACCATGATGTCCTGTCCACTGTGTTCCCAGGGCACTGAGGAGCACACAGAACTCGGGAAGAGGCTGTGCATGGTGGGACCTGGTGGCCAAGATAAATGCATGATGTACTCGCACCTCTGCATGGCTCTGGTCATGCTCCCGATAACGGGGAGCACCACAGCTGTCTCCCCACGTTGCATGATTAATGGGGCAGCGGCAGGGTCTCACTGGCTATTTTACGTGGCTTTGATTATGTCAGGACAGCTACCTTAATTAAGCCCCAGCTGGCAAGGTGGAACAGGTTAAAGCTCCTGGCAGACAAAGCACCCACTGCACAAGGCATTGGGGCCCTGGACATACCACCAGCTGAATGAAGGAGTCCCCGTGCAGACGGAGAAGACTTCGTACTGACAGACATAAACTGCTCGATGAACATTGGTTCAAACCCACACTCTGAGGCCCTCAAACTCAGCTCTCCTACCACTTCAGTTCTAGGGTAAAAAACCACCTACCTGCGAGAACCCTGGCTCAAGACCTGACAAGTACTAAGGACTCCAGAAAGGGCGGGTGACGGCCACACAGTCTGGGGGCTGTGTTAACAGCAGCTTTCTTAGGCCACTGTTGAGCTGAGCCACCTCCTAGGAGAACGCAGAAGGAGCAAACCCTCTGACACAGCCTGAATCCTCACCAACAGCCTGCAGAGCAGCCCTGCTATGGCCGTTACACCACGAGAAGACTTAGGTTCAGAGACCAGACGATGTGGCCAAGGTTTTAATTAGAAAACAGCAGTGTTGCTGCTCAGCCCTGGACGGCGCTGGTGAGGGAGGCCGTCTCCTTGCGGAACAGCAGTTTTTCTCTGCGGGCCAAACTCGGGTCCAGGGGATGGAGAGGCTCTGGCCAGATGGTGGGGTCAGATCCTCGCCTCTCCTGCATGACATCAGGTGGGCTGTTTAATTTTGCTGATCTTCTCAACTGTTTTAGCTACCCAGAACGGTGCGCATCTTTCATGCACAGAAAGAGTGGAAGGCAATTTATAGGAAGACACAGCATTAAAGGCAAGACAGACAAACATAAAAGAAAACTGAAGTACAGATGCAGCGGGAAAGGCAAGTCCCAGGAACAAAGGACCATGCAGAATAGGGCTAAAGGAGCACACGCTATAATAATCCGTATCCCACTTACGAGGAAGCCAGAGCGATAATAGCCACTGGCTGAAGCCAGTGTGGTTCTATTTTCCAGACAGATATAATTGCAGGTGTTTGGCTTTATTCAATACTTGTGGAGCTTGTAACACAGTAGGTGCTCAATAAATGGCTATTAAGTTGCTAAACATTTATTGAATGCTCACTCTGCATGCTGCGGCCTGCAAACCTCTTACAGTTCCATTACTCATGCATACGTCTACATCCTGTCCTCTGCCAAAGCAAGGAAACAGCTTAGCTCCCCGAAGGACAGGGGCGAGGGCTCCAGACAATAAGGCTGAGGTCTGCTACTTATGTGGGGACCTTTTTTCTGCAAACGGTTTGATGTGCTGCCTGAGGACCAGCCTCGTCAGCCTTCCAGGGGGCTCCCAAGGCAGCACACACTTCTGTGCCCAGGATTCAATGCAGAACTGTGGCAGAAAGAGGCTGGCAACCTGAGGGCTGAGTGTTCCCTCAGCAGCAGACACCTGTCTGCCCAGAGGGTGCCACTAGCCCAGGAAAGGCTTCACCATGGAGACAAGTGTCACAGTGAAGACACCGAGCGCGTGGCCATCTGAGAAAGCAAAGAGGGCTACGTACTGCAGGAATGACGTGAAAACTGGATGAGCCACTTCTGCTGATGGTGACCACGAGGAGGGGTGGGAGAAGCCCCAGAGGCCTCACAGTGATGGGACAGATGGGTCCTATGCACAGCCGATCCAGGGCCAGCTCCAAGCTGGTCATGGTCCACACAAATGCCACCTACTTCCTCATCACCTGGTACAGCAGGAGAGCGACCACGCTCTTCCCTACTCATCTCCTCCTTCTCCAGTGTCAGGGTCTTCATGCCTTCTTCTGATCAAGCTCAGGCTCCCACTGTCCTGAATCCCTTTACCACATGTTACCCGGTCATCTGCTCTCTCTGAGAGGAGACGTTCAGTTCTGCAGACTCACAGGAGCTAACAGGAATTCCGGCTCCAGGGACTCAAACTGTGCTTCGGGGAGCACTGCTGTCTAGGGTTGTGTTCGCTGTCTGGATGTTACTGCTGTGTGGGCCTCATGGGCTTCCTTACATCTGCTCCACTGAGCCGCCTGCAGATTGCTGGTCTGTACAATCACCCTGAACATCCCAGGCAGGAAAGCCAGCCAGGACAAAGCGCAGGAATGCCAATGTGCACTACAGTTTAGGGACAAAGCCTCGCCTCTTCATGCCTTGAATTGGAGCAACTGACAAATCACTCCTCGTCTTGCATCACAGTGCTCTGCTCCAGAGCACAGAGAAAAGCACAGAGTGCATACTTGATGAAATTCTAGAAAAACAACCCAGAGCCTCATTTACCTTAACAAGTCCTACCCCACACCCAGCTTTACCCACTGCACTTGGAGGCTGACATTACGCCACCTGGGCACTTCCGCTACAGCTTGAATTTGGGAGACCAACACTGGTTGGCTTTTTCACTGGGCCCTGCAATTCCACCTTCACCCAGCAGGAGGCGATCTCACAGACCTGTGCCAGAGTCGGCCAAAGGCACAGAGACCTTCGGGGACAGGAGTCCCTAATGGAAGACTGGCTGCTGGGAAGAGGCCACTGAGCTTTTATCTTCAGTCCAGTTTGGCTAATGCCCAGTCACTGAGGTGGAAGGCTGAGGACTAATTTTCCCAAGAAAGCAGCCAGATGCCCAGATCAGGCAGCCAGAAACTTGACCATGTCCTAAGAAGCTTCAAGGGATGGACTTACACCAGTAAGTCCCGTGGGAAGCAGAGTGGGCAAAGGCAAACTAGACCCACTGCATTTGCTTCTGGGAAAGGCTACCGTGGGCTCCGCTGAGGCTGGAACCCCCCTGCCTGTACCTTTCCCCTCCAGTGCCATATTATTGGCTAATGCTTACTACTAGGTAGCTAAAGCAGGCTTAGAAACCTGGATTCTGGTCCGGGGAGTCAGGGAGGGGGATGACTCTCTGCAATAGAAAACCAGCAGGCAGCATCTCCTTGCACCAGGAAACTCCTGTTCTACCATCTGCAGTCCCTCAGGCTATGTGCAGATGAAGAAGGGGACATTCTGCCACCTAGATCTACATTCTAAGCTTCCACATGACAATTACCCCTTTGGAGACATGGCATATCTCCCGTTAAAGGTGATTATTCAGCCCTTTCCAAAACCCATTCCTTAGTCATTGATCTGGCTAATTTCTACTACTCCAGGCCTCTCATGGTGCCAACTCTGGAAGGTCTCCTGGGTCTGTAGATGCCCTCTTCTGTCTGCCACCCATCCCAGCACCCTGACAGTGAACCTGGTCAGCAGCACTAGATGCCTGCTTAGGAAGAGACGATGTACCTCCTCTTTGAATCCAGCACCTACTCAGGCCCTAGCTGAGGGGAGGAGGAAACACTGGTACACAGTCTGTGTTTAGCAAGATGTGACAAATGCATGGGAGTGCGTCTGCCCTGAGCTCCTATGAGAAGGCATTCTTCTGCTCCTGCCGCAGGAGGTGGGGGATGCTGGGGTCAACCCATCGGTCGTGCCTACCTCTGAGAGAAGAGGTCCCTGTAGGGGCTGCCATGCTGCAGTGCAATCCCATAGCCCTTGCTGCTGATGCTGTTGCCAATGACAGTCACAGAGCAGTCGTCGTCCCTCAGAGCTGCGTACTCCACCACGGCCACATCCCACAGAAAGGCGTAGTTCCCCTTCTTTGCCTGAAAGACCAAAATCACCATGACATCAGCAGGTCTGACCCACTACATCAGCTTTGAGCAGTGAGACATCTCTATGGCAAGTGTCATGGTTTATGTCTGTGTCCCCCAGGCCTCATGAGTTTGCATTGTGCATTTGTGATGGTTCATTGGCTAGTGCTTGGATTGATGGTGTCAGTGCTGCACCCACATAGGGGTGGAGCCAGGATGTGATGTAATGGCAGGAAGAAGGTGTGTCTTGCTCTTTGCCGGTTCCTGTTTGCTGTTTGCAGCGGCCATGAAAGGCAGCCCAGCCATGCCTGCCTGCCATGGAGCCAACTGAGTGTGGACTGAAACCTCCAAAAACTGTAAGAAATAAACCTTTCCTTTCTGAACGTGGGCATCAGGTATTTTGTCTCAGCGACAAGCATAAAGTAACTAAGACAGCAAGATCTGAAGGAACCATCATCAACAGTCCTACCCACCAGATAGCCTGGCAAACTCATCTATCATACTCTAGCCCATGAGTGCCACTGTTGGTTGATGCTTGTTATGGATGGTGTCTCCATGTCCCTCCGAAGCCTCATGCAGTCATGGGGTCCGGCTTCTACAGCTCACGATTGATTCATGGTCCAGTGCTGGGACCAGGAGTGTATGCAGGGTACCCACCCTTGGGGTAGCCTGCATACAATATAAGGGACAGAAAGAGTTTCCTCTCTGCTCTCCTTCCCTTTTTGTTCTTGTGCTTCTGCTATCTTCTATTGCCAAGAACTGTTGCTCCTCTGTGATATCAACCTGCCTTGGAGCCAGCTGGTTATGGTCTTAAACCTACACAAACTGTGAGCTAAATAAACCTTCCTTGCTTAATTTTGGGCATCAAGCATTTTGTTATAGCAATAAGAAAAAGTAAGAATTTGATACCAGATACAGAGTTTGGTGCCAGAAAATTGGGGTCATTGCTGTGACTGCACCAGATTAAGTGGTTCAACAGCCATTGGGAATGGCTTGTGGGAAGAGTCTGGAAAGGTTCGGATGATGCCTGAAAGAGCAGAGCTGGAATGCCTTAGGCTGCTCTGCATAGGAGATTCTGGGCAGAGCTCAGAAGACTAGAAAGCTGATAGAAATTTTGCCAAAAAAGACCAGGCTTGGGAGGTTTCTGCTGGAAAAAAATATAGAGTGCATTGGTTGTTGGAGTCCAGACAATGTGTATTATCATTGGGTAGAAAGTTGTGTGTATTTTGCTCCTGTCCAGAGATTTCATCTGACACTAAGATTAAGAGCACCAGACTAATTAATCTGGCAGAAGAAATTTCAAGTCATTCAAAGGTTAAGGTGGTGGCACGGCTATTGTTGGGGCTTTTAGCCAGATTTATGTTGAGAATCAAGAGTAAAGAGCCTAGCAGAATGATTTAAAAGGCTGTGAGTTTGATCAGAAAGGAAGCATCAATAAATCTGTGGACCAAAAAGATAAAGCTGAGGAGATCTCGATTGCTGAGAAGAAACAGAAGAATATAAAAGATGACCTAAGGGCCTCACAAGCAGCAGCAAACCTCTACCCTTTACAACCTCAAAACTCAAAAAGTGAAAGACTTTGCTTTGAGGAGAAAGCCGCAGAGCACCATGTTCCAGAATGGCAGCAACATGCAGAATTTACTCCTCAGAATCAGATCAAGTGTGCTCAGTGATCCAGGCACTCAACCTATACAGTCAAGAAAGAGGAAAACATGGCTATTCCTCCATCTCACAGCAGACCTTGGCATCATCCATGCGGCACTGGTTTTAGGTGAAAGCAGAATTTGAGAGTTTGAGGTTAGGAAGGATTCCACTCAGATGCCAGAAGGCCTGGGAGGCCGGGAAGTGTGCCCTGATGGGTGATATGGGGAGTTGTGAGTGTTAAGCCTAAAGTGCAGTGGAAAACCCAGAAGTTTGGAAAAGCCAGGAATGTGGATCATCTACGGAAATCTGCAAAGATTGAGCAGAGCAGGCCTAAAAGAGAAGCTCTGGGAGCTATAAACACTGGAAGTACTCAGGGGTGGAGTCATGCAAGTCATCTGGAGCCCACAAATCACCACAGGTTGTTCTGTGGGTTCCACAAAGAACTACAGGTCTTAATGTTTGCTTGATGGATTCTGACTTGCTCTGGTCCCAATCCCTTGTGTCTCCATTTGTACCTTTTGGAATGGTAATGTCAATTTTGTGCCACTGAATGTTGGAAGTGTTTAACTTTTTATTCAGGGATACAGGGGTATGTAGCTAAGAGTTTGCCTTAGATCTTAGAAGAGACTTGGAACTTGGACTTTTCAGTGATGCTGAAACAGTCAGAACTTTGGCAACTCTTAGAGATGGACTAAATGTCTTTTGCATAAGGGATATACATGTGTCTGTGGGAAGCCAGGGGTGGAATGTTACGGTTTGTTTCTGGATGTCCCCCCCAAAGCCTCATACAGTCATGGGGTGGACTTCTAGAGTTCGTGATTGATTTATGGTCCACTGTTGCGATTATGGGTGTGAGTGCTACAAATGCCCTAGTGTGGGTAGGCTGCATACAATTTAATACAGAAACAGTTTTCTCTCTGCTCTCCTTTCCTTCTGCTTAGGTTGCTTTTGCCATCTTCCGCTGCCATGAACTGTCGCCCCTCTGCCACGCCACCTGCCTTGGAGCCAGTTGATTATGGACTTAAATCTTCAAAAACTGTGAGCTGAATAAACCTTTCCTTCCTTAACTTTGAGTGTTGAGTATTTTGTCTCAGCAGCGGGAGAAAAGTAATCAACCCAATGCCAGTCATTTTGGTTATATATGAAAGATGTGCAGGCTCCAGCTATAGCCCAGCTCATGCAGCAGGGAGGGTCCTGAGGGAATGGGCCCATCTCTCACTCATCCCTGCAGAGTGTGGAGCCTAACCACGGAGGACTGAGCTGTGCAGGTCAGATATGCAAGGGGAGCACAAGAGATGCAGGGCAAGAGGAAGAAGCTACTCCCTGGTGACAGGCCCTGGGGAATGGGAGGGACAACACGGATAAGTCTGGTCCTCTCACTATTCTGCTTAGAACCTGACTGGTCCCCCTTAGGGTGATGGTTGTGGGTTCAGTGCCTGTTGCCAGCCGTGACTTAATATGAAGCATGGGCAGATGTGGAGCTTAGTCTCCTGGGAAGAACCCATTAGGAACAGGCACCTGCTTGTTACGGTGCCAGTCAGCTTCTGCCACTTGCCTTTCCCTGGCCTGACATGAGAATGAGCTCACACACACACACACACACACACACACACACACTGCACATTTGTACATATGCACACACACCTACATTTGTACAGGAGCCAGTTTCTGGTGACAGTACATTCTGTAAGATGCAAGAGCCTCAGATTATTCCTTCCCATAATAGCTAAAAATCCCTGAAGCAGCTTACATGTCCATCAGCAGATGAATGGACACAGGAAATGTGGTATTTACACGTAATGCAGGGCCACTCTGCTCTAAAGAAGGATAGAGCTGAGTCATTTAGAGTAGAATGGGTGTGTCTGGAGACCAGAAGGTTAAGTCAAATATGTCAGACACATAAGCTTAACTATCCCATGGTTTCTCTTATAGGAGAAACCTAAAGTATAAATAATGAGCAAAATAAGGAAATAGGATGATAGATTTTTTTGGAAATGAAAAGTGGACCAGGAGGTGGGGAGATGGGAGGATTAAGATGTCCCAGGCAGGAACCAACTCCCAACAAGAAACATAAATACCAAACACACTTGAAGAAAAGATTATCCCACCAGGGGTCTCCACAGGAGTCTCGAGCTCCACCTCGCCCTTCCCAGTAACTAGCATTCACTTCTGTCTAGAACCAGGGGCTGCTTCAGGTTTCTGCACGTGATGCAAACCAGAGCTAGGTGCTTAGCCTTCTCAGCAGAGTGTGCAAGGTTCTAGGTGCCACAGAGTGCCGGGTTTCATTCCATAGCGAGCACACAGAAGTCCCTCTCCCTTTCCCTCCCCTCCTCCCACGGCTCACACCAGATGCTGAAGACCTCAGTGTGGGCGTGGTCAGTGCACTGAAGCCTCACACATAGAAGAGCAGGACCAGCTGCTGGGCTTCGGGACCAGCACTATCCCTGGCTCTTCCCAAATCCCACTGAATCCCCATGCGAGCTGAGTTTCCAGGGAGTGCCACTGTGGCTCTGATCAAAACCAAGATTTTCCTTCCTTCAAGACCCTAAGTGCCAGTGGCCCAAGATGAGTGCTTTCTTGTCAGATTTTCTCCATCCTCAGGATCTGTGGGTAGAACATGACCTCCCACCGCAGGACCCAGCAGCTCCCAGCTTTTCACACTAATTTGCCCAACCTCCTTGTCAGAAATGACACACACCAGTGCCACCTGTTGGCTTTTCCATAGGGAGCAATTCAAACATTACACCAAAGCTTTGCTCCTGGACCAATCCAATTCCAGAAATCCTGAAGGGCTTCAACCTGCATTGCAAAATTACACACATCTCTGTCTCCGTGTAAGAAGATAACAGTCTTTGAGATTTTTTTCCTGCCGGCAAACAAGTTTCCTTGTGAAAAGATAGAAATTTTTGAACCTCTTAGTAACCAAGTTTCTCAGAAAAATGTTGACTTACGACCTAATATTTGGCTTTAGTCAGACTTCAGAACATTTCGGATCCATGCTTGCAATTCAACGTGACAATCAGACACTGTTATTTGTATGATTTCAAAAGGGCATGTCATGTTGAAGGAGGAATTAAGATCAGCTCCCTTCCTACCTTTCAAGTGATGTTCCAAGTCAGCTAAAGAATAAGTTGGCTCAGATCAAGTGCAGACTCTTGGGGAAGCCTGCCCCAGGTGCTCTGCCACCTGGCTGCCTTCACCCCACAGCCTTTGTGGTTGCATCATAGCCTTGGGGATGGGTGGGCACAGCTGCCAGCAGGAAGCTGCTTTTATAATCCCGCTGCTCTGTCTGAGGAGGAGGAAGAAAGGATGCTTGCAATATGTCAGCCTGGAATCCCTGCTCAGTAGGACAGCAGCCACAAAGAGGG